CGGGTAACAGCTGTACTGAACTTTCTGAGTAAATTGAGGGCGCAATTGCAAACGATGGTGCTTAGCAAAATTTGATTAGCTAAATCTATGGCAGCTATCTTGGATGGTACACACACACAGTTCTGCATATTTTTCAAACATCGAATACAGTGCAGTGTTCTCCCAACTGAAAAATTTTTACTGGTAAATTTGTCCATAAAAAATTGCAATGCGCACAATGTGAGGTACGTTACCCCTTTTTAGTTGGGTTAAATGACTTGAAGACACAACAACACATATTCATAGTGCAGATATAGACTGGAATGATGTTAATTTATTAAGAGGGCCAGCCTGGACTACCTAAGCCTAATCAATAGTTTTTTTTATTTTACAAACTCAAAATTTTTACTGGTTGGTTGGTTATTTTTACCGGTAAAATTGACGGCTAAGACGGCTTCGGGAGAACACTGCATTGCGGTTAGCGCTCTAGTATTCTTATTCTTATTATCTCTATGGGAGCAAAGAGTATAAAACTGCAAAGAGGTCCGACTGCCCTTATTTTGTATACAGGAAAAAGTACACCCACGAAGGTGCGTGCCCTTCATAAGAACCTAAAAGGCGTTCGCATCGAACGCGTGCTGCGTTTCAAATTCCAGCAAACATTCTATAGACGCGTAGCACGCGTTCGATATGAAAGCGCTTTACGCCCCTTTAGGGTAGTACATTTTGGCTATGTTCTCACACGGCAGCTAACGGTTAGCAGAATCCTGATTCTGCTAACCGTTAGCTGGCATGTGTCCATTCAAGAAAATCCTGATCCGGATACCAAGAAAATGACGTCATTTTAAAGGTCACTCAATCGGAAGTCAACAGATAGATCATTCGCGCGAGAATTGAAAACAAAATTTCGAGGTTGATGAAACAGATGCATGATGAACATTCTGCCCATGTTACCACTTATTTTACCGATGCTTGATATAGATTTCAATATTTTTGATAATGTTCAGTTATCATTAATTTTCGGTCTATTAAATACAGTTGTAGTATGTAGACGTTTAGACATCCTTCACCAGCTTAAATTGAGCCAGGCTAGATACGCAACGGAGCAGGAGCGTTTACTCGCAGAAGGAGAAGCCCTCCTCCATACCCACAGACGCGGACGGCCCAAAACTCGTAGATTCTGGGTTAAAAATAACAAAGACCGGAATTGGTGGGAAAAAACAGTATTGAAAAAAAAAATGGGATGACGACGATTGGCTTGATAATTTCAGGTAAAATGTTAATTTAACTTATTTTAAGTTTTGTTTAGCCGAGTTCAGAGCTAGGCCTAGCCTAGCCTACCCGGTTCGCATACAGTACCCTCCTTTCTTTATTCTGGCCTATACGCTATATACATCATGATAATTGCTTGTTGACCTTATCTGCTTATGCACGTTGCCCCCTCCTCGTCGGCAATAAAGTAGACAAGCTAGGAAGCTAGGACTAGGTACAGAGGCCAAGGCCCAGCCCTTTAGAGCATTATAATACTGAGATTGAAATCTATTTTAATAATAATATGTCAAAAATAAATGTGCCTGATTGATGTCGTACGTTTTTTTATTTATTTCGAATAATTTAGTAGCAATTTATATTATTTATGCATCTATTTTAGGATGAATCGGGAGACATTCTCGTATCTTGTTCGTGAACTGCAGCTGCATATTGCAAAACAGTGTACAAACATGAGAAAAGCATTGATGGCTGAACATCGACTGGCGATTACTTTATATCGGCTCTCCTCTGGCATGTCCTTTAGAGCTATTGCCAACCAATTTGGGGTAGGGAAATCTACAGCCTGTAATATCTACCATGAAGTGTGTGCTGTTATAGAGCAGGAGTTGATGCCAAAATATATCAGGTTTTCAGAGGGACAAGAATTACTGGTATGTAATGTCTATACATGCTAATGTAGTGTATTTTTTAAGTAATTTTAAAATGTCATAATTATTTTCGAAACTCAGTGCCGATGCTTATATGACTACACAAAAATGCACAAAGTAGTTAATTAATGCATTATGTGTATACTATATAGGCCTACTAAAAAATATCTGGTGGAAAATGTACAGGCTTTACTTTTCAAAAGCAAATTTTATCTACCTCACTTATTTGTTCAATCTCACTTATAATTTCATGTCTTGTTGCTTTAACAGCTAAATGTGGAGAAGTTCAAGATGAGAGGAGGTTTTCCTCAGGTGGTAGCTGCCATTGACGGCTCCCATATTCAAATAATTGCCCCAGATGAGCAATGATGATGCTCGTGTGCTAAAAAGATCTGCTTTATACACAAAACTAAAAAAATGGAACGCTATTCAATGTTAACAGACGAGTGCAAGTGCAGGATGTTGAGGTACCTTTAATGTTAATCGGTGACCCAGCATATCCCCTAATGAAAAATCTTATGCGACCCTATTCCAGGCGAAATAGATTAACACCGGCGCAAAATCGCTTTTACTACAAATTGTCCCAGTGCAGGGTTGTGGTTGAGACTGCCTTTGGTAGATTAAAGGGGAGGTGGCAGCTCCTCCTTAATAAAAACCAACATGACATAAGGAATATGAGACATGTTATACAAACATGTTGTGTACTGCACAACATTCTGGAGAGTAACCATGTCCCCTACAAACAACATTGGAACAAGGATGTCCCTGTAGAAGGACCAACCAATGTTCTTTGGCCGTATGACACCACAGGGGAAAGAATAAGGGAAGCCATAAAAGAAGAATTAACGCATCTAGATTAGGATAACAATGCATTTTGGATAATAATCAAATATATGAAATTTTGAATGCCAAAATATCTGTCAGTTGTTTAAAATAATTTGTTTTGAAATTAAAAAATTGAAAAGGACATAGTTGCTGTTGCCTTTGTTTACAGTATTTCACTCATTCATCAATCAGTACACATTGCATGATTCTTTTCTCTTTGGAAGCAAACTTCATTTATTAAACAATAACACAAAAATTAACAACTACATCACATGGCAACCTTTCCTTTATCACTACAAACCCAACCCAAAAAGGTCAAATAAATAAATTGTCAACCCCTATTATGGGGATCTTTTTTTATAGAACTGTACATATCACACTATATAAATTTAAAATGTAACAATATTTCACACAATTTATTATTTTGACGACGTCTGAGCTGGGGCAGATGCAGGATTTGGCTGTAGGGGGTGCGAGTCCACACCATCTCAGCGCCAAAATGGTTGTGGGTAAGGCATGAAAATTTTAAGAATACGAACCCAGAAATTGCACTTTCATAACTTTAAAATCTAACTGGTAGTTCGTAAGAGGGCGCTTACATGAAGCGGTAACGGACTCAAACAGCTCCGTCAGAGATTTTTAAAAAACTGCGATTTTTCCCCTCGTAATGACTGATAGTTCAAACTGACTCAAGGAATAACTACAATTAATACTTTAAAAGGCTCATCAAGCCTTAAAATTGACAGAAAATCGAAAATGGGCAAGAAAAAACCTGTAACTACTGTATCACCACCAACATCCCCGGAAAACAAACCGGAAACTGCCGCACCCGACGATCCCATCACCACTATGACCGAGTTGAAGCGGGAATTTCAGTCGATGCAAAAACGGGACGGTGAATTACACGTTAAGATCGATCAAATAATCCTAAACCAAACTGCTATACTGGAAAGGATAAACTCAATTGAACTGAAATACAGTGAAATTGAGAATAGTCTTACCTTTACTACGGAGAAAATCCACTCATTTGAAACGATAATCGACGAGTTTGAAACCAAAATCACTAATGTGACGGAATCGACTAGGAGTGATCGTAACCGGCTGTCAATACTTGAAGGGGAAATCCTAAAAATGAAACGATATTCGAGATCCTTTAATTTGAGATTTGGAGGTATACCTGAACGAAACGATGAGGATCCCATGAAAACGGTACGTGATATAATAAACCATAAACTGAACTTACCTACGACAATAATAGAAAATGCACATCGAACTGGTAGACAGGCGATGGGAAAACCGAGACACATAATCGCTAAATTTATTCATCGGTCACAAAGACGAGAGGTGCTAATACGTGCAAAATCAGTTCTACGATCGTCGGATATGTTTGTTACCGAAGATCTACCACAGGCGGACGTGATAAAGAAAAGGAGTCTCAAAATTATCATGGACCAGGCATACAAGGAGGGCAAAAGACAGGTGTTTAAAAACGGTAATCTCTATATCAGCGGTAAGCTATACAGCGGTTTATCGGTCAGCGGATCGTAATACTATTCCCGTTCCGCATACCGCATAACTTGACCGCATACCTTGTACCGCATACCATGATACCTCTGAAATAATACCATGATTAGTGAGTTAACAAATAGTTACCTTTGAATTGCCATAGGCATGCGCTGTCTCTTATACACATCTAGATGTGTATAAGAGACAGGAAATTAATACACAATGTCTAGCCTAG